CGAGAATAAAACAACACAGATATCTCATAAAACATCATACAATTCGAAAGAAAAACTATATATCTTACAAAAGAAAATTCAGGAAATTAAAACACTTGGTGTCATGGATTGCTTTTCTGGGTGTAAACGTAATCGATGTGAGCTGCGAGAGTTCTTCTAATCAAGCACTCTTCTTCCCCAGCTCCCTCGTAGTCACTCTCCTCAGCTTGGAACTCCTTCACCTACCAGAAAAATGATTACAAGTAAATTAATTAACAATCAAAAGGGGGAAATGAAGAAAAGGGAAATAGGTACTTCTCATTGAAGGAAAAAGTAGAATACCTTGTGTTGGGTTTTCACCAAAGAGCTTATATCTGAATACTGAGGTTCCGGCCGGCCAGCCAAGGTTAGAGCGAGGAAGAGGAGGAGGAGTGATATGGTGCAGAAGGCGCTGACTTTGGGAGGCATTCTGGGATTTCTGGAGAGAGATGTGGAGATAGCATGAGAATGAAACGTGTGACGAGGAAACTGTAGGAGCTGAATTTATCGAGAGGGTGAAAGGGTTGAAGGGCAAATGTGGAATCTGAAAAGGAGATGATCACCTTCGTTTTATGGTGGAATTTAACAACTGCCCTCTTAAAATACTCGTTCATTCAATTTTAGTAGGCTTAGGTTTTACAATGTTTCCCACTATTTTTTTTACTGTACAATACTTTATTTAAAAAATATAAATTTATAATTTATAATTCATTTTAATTAATTTTATTATAAAATTTCATTAACTTTAATTAATATTTTATATAAAATTGTAAAAAAAAATAACCTACAACAACAACACAACACATATAAATAAATTATTACTTTTTCTAATAAAATAAAAAGAAAATGATTGGTATATCCTGCAAAGTTATACACTCCGTTATACATTAACAATTTCTGTTACTTATACCATTAAAATTGATAGTTTTCGTTACTTGTGCCGTTAAAACTAATTGTTTTCGTTACTTGTGCTGTGAAAATTGACAGTTTCCGTTACACACTAACACACTAATGGTTTTCGTTAGTGTGTAAACGGAGTGTGTAACTATGCAGGGTGTAACTATGCAGAGTGTATGTATCATTATCCAAAATAAAAATATAAGAATTAATTAATAAAATTTCTTATTTATTCTTAATTAAACATACATACATATTGTAACTTGTGTTGTAATTATCTTTCTAAAATAATGATAATATAAAAATAAATACATTAAAAGAACTAAATTTAAATGCTCTAAATTAAAAAGTAAGATAATTAAAATTGTTTGGAAATAATCACTCTTTTTTTCTTTTACTATCAAAATATTTTAATTCAGCTTACACATATATGAAAATTAATCTCTTCTTATAAACTCCCATATCCACCTATGCACTAAAAAAACTTTTTTTTTCTTTAAAACTTAAAGTTAAACCCTAAATACAAGTAGTTGGTATTTACTTACCAACCTCGAGTTGTAGAATATCGTTCTTTTGTAGTGGACAAGTTTATAATGGAGCTAGGATGGATAGATGAGGCCTAGAGGGCGAAGGACTGATTTTTTCCTTTTCCTTTTGTTACGTTTGAGAAAATTTAAAATATTTTGCAATAACAACAATTTAATTAAACTCCTTGAGCTTTAGTTTATTCAAACTATCTCTTTGAGAAGGAAGAGATGCTGTTATACCTACCGATTAGGCTTGATGTACTTAAAAAAACTAACTTTTCTTTACTGCTTCTTAAAACTTAAATCATATATAAACTTCGCATTAAGAACATGCTTTAACTACCATATTATAAACTTTTCGTAGATAACACATTATATTATATTTTGGTAGATAACGCCTATTATGTAATTGATGAGTCTTTGCCAAACATCAAGTGCTGAATAATGCTTTCACATGTCTAAAGATTTACTACCTAATTTTTGTTTAATTTGGACCGTCCTAGGTTAGGGTATATTAACCCAATCATATTTTCAAAAAATAAACATAACAATTTAAGCATCTAATTCTTGGTTATCATCCATCACCAACGTTAGAACATTAAAAAAAACAAAGAAGAAGAAAAGAAAAGAAAAGAAAGAAATAA